GGTTTCTTAATTTGTGTCTTCTTTTTAATTCTATTGAGGAAAACTAGAAATATCTAAATCTTTATGTTCAGATTTAGCTTTAAGTGCTGAAGCATGACACATAATAGTAGCAAGAGACCTATACGTTTCTCATTTCATTTCTTTTGAAGTTTCCAGGTGGGAGTGCCTGTAGTTATTCTTCGATGTTTGGAGCATATGGAGTCAAAAGATTTGGGCAGGCCTGTTGCCTTCCTTGCTAAAATGATAAACTATCGCCCTCTTGCAGTTCAACTTGTGAGTAAAGGCCTGTTGGATCCTAATCGGTGGAGAAGGTTGCTTGATTATTCAAGCCCGAAAGAAGTCACACTAGATGCTCTTATGATTATTTCAGATTTAGCTCGAATGGACAAGGTTAGCCTTTTATTTTTATCATTATTATTTTTTGGTTGAAGAACTGTTCTTGTATAAAGGGTCCGTACTCTATTTTCTTTCAACTTCTGGAGTCTTGGAAAATGCAAAAAACTACCAAAATCTTAAATTTGGCTTTTTTGGTGTTCAGGGATTCTATGAATTCATCAACAGGGCTTCTATTTTGGAGCATTTGAAGGAATTTCTTGTCCATGAAGATCCCAACATACGTGCAAAAGCCTGTAATGCTCTAGGCAACATGTGTCGATATAGCTCCTACTTTTATAGTACACTGGTAAGGAATGAAAAGTTGATTATTTTTATTGGACTAAACCATTTAAACGCTTCAAAGATTTGTAAAGATACAAAGACTAGTCCTTATGTGGTGGATATTGGAGATAAAACTCATTCTGTTACAAGCATGCGTAGATTGGTTTTACGCATTTTTCATGTTCTTTACAAGGGTTCTAGATTAATTCCGACCATGAACTCTATTGAATTTCATGCTTCAGGCAAGATGTCAAATCATTGGCCTTCTAATCGACCGATGTTCTGATCCAGATAAACGCACACGAAAATTTGCATGCTTCGCTGTAAGTTCAGTTGCTATGCAAGATCAAAACATTTTGATTTGAATCTCTTAAATTACATTTA